GGATCGGGTCAGGTCGCCTGGGCCTGGGGGCAATTTTGGGGTCCTGGCCATCTTTGAGAGTGTGATGGAAGAGTAAATCCCCTGGACAGAAGAACATGTGACCCCACGCACACACCACACTGAGCATGTTGTCGGGGTGCGGTGTCCCCTAGAAGTGTACCCTGAGCTGCAAGTTAAGAAGAAAACCCCACTGTCTCATAGAGATATACTGAGAACGATCTGATCCATGAATTTCTAGGAACAGAAAGAAAGGGGTCCCATTTTTTATGTAGGGAGGCATTCTTTGATTATTCCTCTTAACATTGAGTCCTACCCCACCCTTGCCCCCCCAGACCCCTAGCAACAAATATTCAACCCCTCTTTTTGACATAGGTCCATGTATTTCCTTTCCACCAGTTCGTACAGTCAGAACTTATCTCCACTGTAGTTTTGTTGTGGCCTCTAGTCACTAGACTGTAAGGACATGAAGATGTCACTCACCTGTGGACAGCCCTGGCATCCAGAAGTTGTCCGGCACCCAGTTTTGCTCAGGGATTCTTCCTTAAATAAATGGATGGAAAATGCCATTTTAACTGGTTGGAAAGCCCATGAACTACACATTGGTAACATATATGAGTTCATGTGAAGTCAACAGTGTTGTAGAGGAAAGAGCTGGTTGGATACTCATTATTAAGCCCAGCAGCGTGATATCTTTCTATAACATGCGTGAGTTGAAAATGGCTAACACTTCTTTTAGTCAGCTCCTTTCTTGCTCTCATTTCAAGAACTTTGTCACATCATATCCATTTTCTGGAAACATCTCATGATATGCAATACTTTCAAGTGATTTGTGGAAGGGAACGATATGCCGTGACAATACATTTTCACAGGTGCAAGCTATTCTGGAAAGATGACACTTTGGTAGCGATGCAACGTGGGTCTCAGCTGTGTGTGTGTGTGTGTGTGTGTGTGTGTGTGGTCCACCAGCAAAGTTCTTGCAGCACAAAGATATTGCTGAGAAGTACCCCACGGTCCCCATATTGCTTTGCATCTCTAATTAGGAGCCATGTTTTCCACTGGTTATACCTATGAAAGGGACTAGATGGTCTTGGCAAGGTAGAACTTTCTGTCCCCCTTTTATATTATTTTCGAGTCATGCCAAGTAATAATTTAGCCTTGTGAAGCTCATCTGGCAACTGAGCTTCAAAGTGGGTAAGTGTTAAGCCAACCAGTTTGATATTTCGGAGACAAGGCAGATTCCATACGTGATTAAAATTTCTGTGCCAGATGGAATAGTTCAGCCAGAAGGGATATGCTGTGTAACATAATTTTAAGATGTGAGTCAGAGAAATCAGCTTGGTAAAGTGAACTGGGCAGGATTTCTCTCTGGTTGGTTAAACAGTGTAATAATTCAAAGGATCATTATCAACCGCATTCACTGTTTCATGGACAAATAGAAGATTTTGATGAAGTTGCTTTTTCTTCCATAACCTAATGTGTTCACTATATTTTTTTCTAGGATGAGTTCAACAATTCAACAGAACTTATTTTATTCAGCTCTAGACCCTGTCTGAAAGGTCACTGATTGTGGCCCTTTGTTGGCTAAGAGATTTATGCTGAGCTTACTTGATCTGAGAGTCTGAAACTATCCCATGAGCTTGATTTCCGTGTGGGGACAGCCCACTGAATTGAGCAATAGTAGCTCTGAGCCCTTCTAGAAACACCGTTTCTAGCTGTGAGCAGTGAGTGATTAAGGCTTTTTATCCTCTTACAGCTTCCAAGTTCTAACTAGTGCCCCTACCCAGTAGTAGCTCTTCTCATGGGCTGTGTGTCAGGTGGGGGTGGAGATGATGAAGTGTGTTTTGTCTTTAAAGAATCATTTTTACGTCATAGGAATAGCAGTTTTATGTTAGTAAAGTCTACAACATACCTACCGCGTCAAGTCAGCGAGATGCCACTTTTAATTCTGTTTCCAAAAGTGCATTCTAGGTGGATTGGATTTTAAAAACTCTGTAATGCCTATATTTTTATATTGTCACTAACTGGAAGGGATCATTTAAATTTTCTATCAATTGCATTCAAATTTAGCATTCATAGAAAAAAAATGTGGTAATTCTAAATGCTAAGGAGACCAAATAGATTATTTTAAAAATCTATTCTCAAAGGACAATGAAGCTGGAAGATTATGATTTATAAAACTTACCTTAGTAGAAAAGTAACTGGTTTTGTTGTTAGATGAACATAAGTACAACCTGATGTAGTTATATTTTCAAAGTAATTCTTCTGTTTGAACGATCTGTACTTGTGAGTTTGTTAGTGATTTTCAGATGGAGAAAGACCATTTTCTTATTAGGAATAAGGGTCAATTTCCTGCAGGTCAGGTTTGGTCAGAGAGAACACAATGGGTGATGAGGAAGAAATGGTTCTGAGTGTGGTGATGGGGGCTGTAGACCCCGAGTTTATGGAAAATCTTGTGTAATGATTGTAACGCTGCATGTAGGCATCTGCATGGTTTCCCCTTTTATCCCTGTGTATTAGCCATGCACTGAAACTCTCATTTTCTGCACGCTTGGATCTAAGTGCAGGTACAGGTAATTAGTGATGTGATTCAAGCACCACAGGTGCAAACAGGGCATGAACACAATCAGGCCACAGTCACACTGTTACTCGAATGTCGTGGGAGTTTGTTAACGATCCGGCTAATTCAAAAAATACCAGTTAACACAGTTCACGTAAGGTTCAGACTTGCTGAGCTTGGATTTCTGTACCGGTGGGATTATGTGGATGATCTTAAAATACTCCTATTCCCCTTGTTAAAAGTTATTTTGTTTGAGAGTTAAAAACAACAACAGTGATCAGAGTAAGTGCTTATTTATTTCAGGCACAAAACTGATAACTTATTAAGAAAAATGCTTTTCAACAGTCACTGTTTAATGCAAGTCACGGTTTTAGACTCGGGGTGGTAGTCCCAGTGACAGGCGCGGAGTCTGGGCTCGCCGGGTAACACGGCCCCGGGAGTCGGAGACAGCGACATGAACCTCACACGAGAGACGAGAAAGTGATTTACAAGCTGCACATCTCACACAAGCTGTGACGTCCGGCTTTGAATGTACATGGCACCAGATCACATCATTTCAAAAGAAGCAAGTGATGAAGATCCAGCCATTCACGAGAGTCCCTCGACTGAAAAACGCATTAATTTCTGGAGGTGACTTCCTGTTCTTCATACAAACTCTTAATGTACACAGTATTTGGCTGATGAGTTTTGTGGCGTGTACAATGATAAGTGAGTCCCCTAAAGTTTCTAACACTCAAAAGCAGAGGAGAACTGAGACAAATATTTCCCAAGAGAAGAAAGACGACGTTGTAAAAGCACCCAGGGGGCAAGAGAGACAGAGAGAGAGAGAGAGAGATTTGCCTTGAACTTGAACATTTTCAAGACTTTCATTTCATCCTACCTTTTTGACAGTGAGCTATTCCAGAACGATGTTTTCACTTGTGGCAGCTGAAATGAATTACTCTTAAGGATTAGCATTTCTTTACACAATGCTTGATCTGAATTGTTACATCCTTACTTTACAAAGGAAATTGCAATATGACATATGTGTGAAACTAAACATTTACAACAATATAAGTTATATATTATTTATTATATTCTATACTTTTTAAATTATAAAACCAACCCATACTGGTTTCTGTAAAACTGCATTAGGTAAGTATTTTTAATACATGGAAAGTACACCCAAACTCAATGATGTGTTTGAATTATACTAATTTATGTGGTTTTGGAGTAATTAAAATATTATTAAAGCTGTCCTTTTTGGTTACGTTATCTCTACACACACAATGAATCAGGGAAACCAGGGGTTTCCTTCCAAATTGGTTATTTGCACGTTTAAGCCCAGGTCTTCCCATCATTTTCTTTTGCACACATCTTACCAATAACTCCCCACAAATGATCATGTAAATCTAGGTGATGTTACAGAAATTCTTTTACGACTTTTTATATGTTCTTCCTGTACTTGTAGAGTCCTAACACAAGGAATTACACTAGTATTACGAGCTGTGTAACCAGACACTAGTATTTTTTAATTATGAAGAACAAACCTCATTTGGTTGTACCAAGTTCAGTCAACTCCAGTCCGATTTTTGTGATTCAGCTGCAACTTTGCGATCCCCTCTGAGGGTCGCCTTCAGGTGGGTGGACAGAGGAACTCCCCACCTCACCCCCGATGCTGAATCTGTTTCACATCCTATGTCAGCGGATCACAAAATGTGGGGTAAAAGAAAGACTCATGGAAGGGACCTAGTGTGATTTCTTTTTAGCTTATAATAAGTACTACGTAACGGGGTAAGCCGAGAAGATACTTCCTTCTTGACCCCACTTGAAAGTTGATCCATAGCAGTGACTGAGATTAAACTTCAGTGTACTTTATTAAAAATACTACTTTCACAGAAGTGAAGAGCCACAATTGCACAATGGTGGTCGCAATGGTAGAAAGACGTATTGCCGATAAAATGTGAGCAAGAGATTTAAAAATGACTGAAGAGCACCGCATTGGAAAGTTGAGGAACCGCAAAATGATTCATATTATTTTCCCATGGAAATAAAACCCTAGCTTTTTAAAGAAATGAAAAGGGGAGAAAGTGTTTCTTTTTTTTTCCTTTTTTTCTGATTCCTACCAGAATGTTTTCTTATGTGGAGCTAGAGACAGTAAAAAAAAAAAAAAAAAAAAAAAAAGACAGGTGAAAAAAAGAGAGACGTTCATGCATTTAAGCTACCATTAATCTCTGACTCTAATATAAGGCAGACCATTAATCTTTTGCAAAACTATGACTGTAGCCACGTAAGCCTTTTTAGTGCTTTTCATGACGAGGACGTGATGGGCCTTGTAAATGTAGGAATTAAGGTGTGTCTCCAACAGGTGAACTTATGCAGACTCAGCTGCTGTTTGAAACACCAATGCGATCATAAAAATGCTTTGGAGAAGTGGTGGAAAGTTGGAATAACGAAAAAACAAGAGGTCCTACAGAGTTTATCACAAATGACACCATTGAGATCAACGAACCCCTGTTACATGGGCTTATGTGTCATCCTCAGTCTTAATGATGTGGAAGAGGGTGACATTGAACAGGACCTGGTGACCATTGTTCCAGGCATAAAGAGCTCTATCCCTGGCATTGTAGTCGAGCATGGAGATGTGAAAGAATTGGTTGTGGAAGGGGATATCTGTGTACTCATAGGTGGAGGTTTTGGTCGAGTAGGAGTAATACACCTTTGCTCCGGTTAAGTGTGAGTTGGTGACGTACAGCGTCCCACAGATCATGAAGGACTCCCCCGCACTCCTCTTGGGATAGCCGGTGTTCCAGCTCTTCGTCACCTCCAAGGTGTCTTGGTTCAGCTGACTGATGACAATGTTGCCGGCATTCTGGTTCGTCGCGTACACGGCCCACAGCCCGATCTCGTCGGCCATGAGGTCGATGTCGGAGAAGCCCCCCCAGGTGTAGGGGTAGACGTTTTGAAAGCCAGCATACTCCAGGCTGCGCTGGGCGAGCACCCGGCCCAGGTCAAAGCTGTATTTGATGATGATGTTACTCTGATACTTGTTGAAATAGAGGGAGCCGTTGTACACCACGTGGTTGGTTCCTGCCCATTTGAAAGGGAGGTTGTATGTCCTGGACTCGGCTCCGCTGACAAAGTCCGCCATTGATTTGTACTCGCGGACAATTTTGTTGTTAGTGTAACTGTCCATGTACCAGACCTGGGAAGAAGGGAGAAAAAATAAATAAATGGAGTCCATAAATTCTGTACTCTTCTGAGAATCCCAAAGTAGAGACAGTTAAGAGTCAACACTTATGTGTATCACTATTCTCAGGCTCAAGAAACCACATCCTCTTAGCGCTGATGGTGCTGCAGGCTTTTGCAAAAACCATGGTGGCATGGCCCACGTGGAAAAAACCACGGAGTATACTTCCCTGAAGCTGATTTGTTTGTTGTCCCTTCTGCTGACCATTCAACGCCTAGGACTGAGTGAACCAATCCTGTATCAGCGCGAATCACGCCGCTTTCTGTAGTTACCTGATGGATCAGTGCGATCGGTCACTGCGAAAATACCACCTTCTCTGGAAGAAGGAGAGCAAATGTCTCTTCTGTGACGTGCTCTGGAAAATGTAGTCTAACTTCGTACTGTTTATTTCTCCTTTATGGACACTGCAGAACCTTCTAGAAACCAACACTTGTTCCTAGGACCAGCTTACAAGGACAACCGCCTTTTCATGTGGCCATTGTACTGCCTTGGCTACACTAATCTCATTTGGATGCAACCCTTTTGGGAATCGTAATGTATGCTGAGCTCTGGCAGCAGAACGTAAACAGGGCTACAGTAAGGTTCCAGCATATTGATTTATGTAATACAGGTATTGCCAATGTATGAAAATACCCCACCCCCCAAGTTTCAGTGCTGTTCCTTTAAAATTACCTCTAGACTGCAGGATATTTATTTAACCTTGTTTTGTGAATGGGTTAGCTCTTCAGTTTTTCACTTATTTGGTTTTTTTTTTTAACATGACAGAGCAGGTTTTAATAGAAATATATAGAGAATTTTGTGTTCTCGTAATTAGCTCTTTAAAGTGTGAAGAGTAAGACAAAAAGTAGACTCACTATCTTGGTGAGTTATAGGATGGAACATTTGAATAAAATAAGTTTGCCATCTATCTGTAGCTGTGTTAATATTATCATATTGCAAATATTTGCAGTGATCTAACAGTTTTCAGTGTGAAACCATATCCCTAAGGAAAATGAGCCACTCAGTAGACAAAAGGTGCAAATAAAACATCGTTGCCAGCAAAGGTGTTTGTGGAGGCTACACACCCTGTTGTTCTTCTCGGATGCCAGAGGATCGGTCATCCAGGCGCCGAAGCGGGTTCCAGAGGTCTTGATGGTGATCGGGCCCGTGATTTTCATCAGTTTGCCGCAGGCTGAAATTAGAGAAACGTACACATGTCAGGTGGCCATGAGCAACAATTCCAATGTACAAGAGTGAAAAAAATAACTCCTAAATCACGGGGTTAACGTCATGTATCCTGAAGGGATGATCATTTGTGCTGGGAGTCAGACAGTTAAATATAATGCGAACCATGAAGAGTTGCTTTTTCAGTGCTCTGAATCTAAAACATGAAGTTTGTTTTTATTTATTTGTATTGTTGACACTATTACAGATGTACCCTATTTCCCCTGCTTGCCCCCGTTCCCCTCCCCTCCCCTGCTAGGGATTAAAAAGAGGTAGTGATCTGCACAACCTGGAAAGAAACAAGTGAGGAGAGCCACAGTCAGCACAGCACAACTGTATCTTCTCGGAATCAGAAAAGTTACACAAATTGTTGACCCGTCTGTCTCCCCAGAAGCTCCTTCCCTCCCCATCCCTGGGCTTCAAGACTTTGCACAACTTCCATGAGTCAGAAACAGCTCTGCAAACGGCTTTTCAGCCTGTACTGAAGAATCTGCAGCCCCGTGAAGGTGTCGTTACAGGATAATAGCAACAGAAGTTCCACCGCAGTCGGCCTGAGTCAGTCTCCAAGTGTAAATGCCTCATGCAGATACTGGGGCCTCATACAGATACTGGAGCCTGAGAGCCAAGGACAAACAGCTCCCATAGCTCTAGCCCCACACCCTGGAGTCATGAGCTGTGAAAGATGCAGAGAATCCTTTGATGCAACAGATACCATGAAAACTAACAGCTTCATTCCGAATTGTAATGTTTTTATCAAATAAGATGTCGGGAAAGTCCTGGACTGCAAAAATGTCAAAGCCTAAACCAAAGAGAAACCCAGGCATTTTTGCAAGATTTTTAAATGGGGGAAATTTAGAAGTGATGGACCGTACCATTTTGAGAGGCAGCGTGAGGCCTGTGAGGGCCCAGCTGTGGTCTAGACCGAGGAGTGTTCTTTCCTGTCCATTTACACCCACTTCCCCTTTCTACTTGTTTTTCTTTTTTACTTAAAATTTTTTGTTCTTTTGCTTCCATGTTTCTTCCATTCTCCTCTGCCTGTCCTTAGAATCGATACATTTCTAGTTTGTATCTATTGGTGGCTGTGTGTTTGGAAGAGAAAGAACAGATCGCTAAAGCAAATCAAGAACACAACTAACCTCAGCTTGGAGCTTCCTTGTGTGATTAATTCACAACTGGCAGAATACTAAATTGTGCAGTCAGGAAGCCGATGAAGAATAGTAATATATTTTGTACTATGACTTCAGTGATATCTGCAAAGTTGAGTGTATTCTCTGAATAGTATGAGTGAACATAATATAACCAACTTAATATTTCTGATATCACAGGTGACAAGTACATGAAATCTCAAGTATATTGAAATAAATAGGAATATACTCACCCCCTGAAAATCCCCACAAAGCAAAATGTGTGTTTTCATTTTCCTTAGGCATGAATAATAGATTCAACAAAATAAAAATAGCAGAGGTAGCAGGTAAGAGATGCAAAGTAACTCTGATTTAAGAGGCTAAGGAATGTTCCTGGTTTTAAAACCTAAATATTCTGAGTATTAAAAAGTCATTATGCGATTTGGAAGACTCGTAATAAAGAGGAGACATTGGAACTTTTCAGGGAAAGCGTGTGAGTGGCCACAGGCAGATGGATTGGAATCAGACTGGTGTTGGGCTCCCCACCATTGATTGTGAACTGGAAGATGGTAATCGGCACCTTTACAGATCAGGGGGAAGATCAGAGGGAGATGGAATACATCATTCTCTGACAGACAAACTTCCCAAAGTTTCACCCTTTCTGAAGAAGTTACTTGGGAACATATTGTAGCAAAATAAGCGAGTAAACTAAGACAGGGCGAGACAAGAGACCAGGGACCAGTGACTTGTGTCTGAATGACGGCTGAGCAGGTCTTGAGAGCAATTAATCCAGAAGGAAAACAGACACTTCCAGGAGGGAGGTCTCAGCAATGAGAGGACTTGACCCTGGAAATCCTGTATGAGACCCCCCAGGGAAGACTGGGTCTGGTGAAGGCACATATGGAAGTACCAGCAAGGAGGACTAATTGGAACTTGACCCTAGTCATATCCTCCTTGGAGGGTCACAGATGCTGATACCTTGGAAAACATCCGAGTCCACCACTCAGCTCCTAAAGGACAAGGTGAGCACTGTCACAACATAAATGCTTCACTTGTAGAGTCAGCCGGTGACTAATGACAGAAAACAGATGTTTCGTCTGCTGTGTGATTGTAGAAAATGCAAGATGTCTCCAACCATGATGACAGGTAGGCAAAGCTCGCACTGGGAGATAATTAAAAACTGGGACAAGAAACGAGGGAAAGATGGGGTGTAACTAGCTCACATTTAAAAACATGCTGTTAAGATAGTTTTCCTGCAGTTGATGCAGAATAATGATTTCCAGATGAGGCTCCAAGTTACAGGGTTAAGGATCGAATGGTGACTCAGCACCAGCATCTTAGGAGGAGACAAGAAAGAAACCGGCTTTGGTGCAGCGACCTAAATCTTCATTTTGTGGAGCAGAAACTCAGTCAACAGTAGATAACACCGATTCAAAAAGGAGGGCAGGATAAGCATATTTTAGAGATAAGATATAACTACATCGAGCCTTAAAAATAAACTTAAATGGAGCTGCCTCTGGGGAGCAGAGATGGACCCAGACTGGGTTGCTCTGCAGCCTGAGCCCTCTGAGTCCCAGCATGTAATTTCTGGTCCTGTGCACGCAGTACTTACAATTTTAAAAGTTCAAATAGCCGCTACACGTAATGTCCACCATTGAATGTAAAAAGCAAAAAAAAAATCCCTTCACATATCGCCTGTTGGAAATCATTTTCAGGTTTTTATGTGCCAGGTGAGCACTGAAGATGGAGACAGTGTCCAGGAATGGGAGCTGTGAATATTCTGCATTTTAATTTGGTGTCAGTCCTGCAAGGATGGGATTGAAATAGTGTCCTTTGAACTCCCAGCTCTACCTTCTAGTTACATGGCAATCTCTCTCTCTCTAATTCCTTCAACCTTTAAAAAACCAGATTCCTTACAATGAATTGTAACATTCATCTGTTACTTCATCTATGTGTTAAGAAAAGCTAATACTGCATTGGTGATTGCATGGGTGAACCTGTGTGCAGGAACGGTACTAACAGATATTATGCATGTTCAGGCAAAAATGTGCATTTTATTTCAACATAGTAAGTGGTTATGACCTTGGAAAATAGGCTCCTGTAGAAGATCCACTTTCCATAGGAGAACAAATTAGTCTAAAATTTCCTGAAAACTATCCTTTAGAGATGAATAAGCTCCCACGATCATTTGAACAAAGAACGGATATGTGGAATCTGTTTGAATTTGTTCTGGAAATAGATCAGCATAATATCCCAGATATGAGACATAAACATAACAAAATGTTTGCCCCCATAAAACTGTATATCCAGAGTTAAAGGCCAAGAGGATACACAGTCAGGAAGAAATTGTGGTGACCACAAGTCATTTTTGATCCTGAGAGTGAATACTTTGTTTTTTGGAGTTGGACTGAACATTTTAGACAGTGAAACTGTACCACTAACCCTCAGAGGGAGCGTTTGAACCTGCCTTTCAGCAACACCAGCCCCTCCGCCATCGGGAGCCCCTGCCCTACTGCATGAAACACAGTTTGGACAAAGCAAGAAGACATGACGCCCATATTTCCCTCCCATGTGTGACATGGCTGATGTCATTCTCTGGGTTTAAAGACCTCCTGGATTCAGTTTCTGTAGACATAACGTTAATAGGAATGGAGTTGGATGGATTAGTTCAAATCTGCCCGGGAATTATCTTTGCCATGGATCTCATGCAATCGACATTTGCAAACAGCGACAGCTTGCAAGGGGCGTGGGCATCTGCCCCTCTGTGGTGTTTGGATCTAACCCAACGTTGTGCTCATAGGACAGGCGGGCAGTGCTGAGCCTTAGGCTGTTCTGACCAGGAATTGAGACAGAAATTATACCAGGGGTTAAAGGCTTCTGATACCTAAACCAAAAATGACGTTGCTTTCTTCTTGTAGCAATGGGCATTTTCTCTGAAAAATGTTAGAGGGTAAAACCAATCATTACTATTGAAATATAAAAGACAATTTAGTCATCGATCAGTCATTGACTGAGAAGTTACTATGTGCCGGCACTAAATCTGGGTGTTGACGGATGTGGATATAAGGAGACAACACAGGTTTATATAATGTAGCTTCTCAAAATGGCTTCGCTTGTGGCCATCCTCCCATTTCTTTCTGCTTTTTCTTTTTGACTCAGCTGGCAAGGAAAGTGACATGAGGCGATTATTTCAGACCAAATTATGATGGGAAGGAAAGGATGTAGCGTTGAGGGCACCGAGAATGTGTTGATATTACAATAAACAAAGGTTATGGAAATGCAGCTCTGAGCACTCTGATACATCATAGCCTTTCTTCCATTAAGACGGCCTTTGTAAGGAACTTGGAATTTATTTTGTTCCAAGCCACATTTACCCCTCCTCATCGACCAAACAGACCCATAAACTGTCAAATACAGAAGGAAACTAGCAAATGCGGCTTATCTTTCATGTTTAGCTTTTTATAAGAAATAAATGAGAAGGCCTGCAAAGGACCAGTTCAATGCACTTATATATTTTTATCAGGTCCTTGCTGTGGATCTTAATGGCACTTCTCCATGCAAAGGATACTTAGCTCTGTAACCTAGTAAATCAATATAATTTCGAAAAATTGAAATCTGTGAGAATTTGGCGAAGGGGCTTTTAAGTTAGATGTAACCATTTCCAAATATGCATGTGGAACTATGAGAACGCTCATTCCAGATAAAGAGGTTTCTTATCTAGTCTGTAGCCAGGAAGGTCCTGTGGTCATTTAGGAACCTGTGCTTTGTGTTCTTTAATTCTCCTGTGTGTGTTCCTCTTTCATTTCCCCCCAGGTGTGTCACCCACCAGCTCCCTCCCACCTGC